TCTTTTCCATTATCCCTATGTATACCCATTATGGTAACTTAATTTAAGTTCCTTAACAGCAACCCAGGAAATTGTGCAGGCGATCTCAAGCTCGGAGGAGACCAAGAGCATCCGAATTGGCGCCGATCCTATTCCCAAAATGGGGTTTTCCCAAATTAGGGGTACCTTTTTGGGGGTCCCTATAATAAGGACTATAGTATATTTGGGTCTATATGGGGGTCCCCTTATTTTGGGAAAGTACCAAATAGCTTAGTTTTGGGCGCTTGTGTTCTGGTGAAGCTCACCCCTAAACTGAAATTAAGTAGGTGTTCTTCCTCTTAGGATTGCACTGGCGATTGTGCCGGAAGCGTCTGGGACAGCTTCGAGGTGAGTGGTGGTCTCTACGCAACCTTCAACATGCCCGAGTCCACCAACATCCCCACCAATGCCGCAGGATTTGTGGCTGGGTTGCTGTTAAGCAGCTTAGATTAAGTTACCATAATGGATACATATATATATATATATACACATATACATAAGGTAAATAATAGGGTTTCCCCAACATAGTAACTTAAACTAAGTTCCTTAGCAGCAACCCAGGTGGTGCATGCCTGGAACGTGCTTGGCCTTCAGGCTGATGGCGTGTTCACCGCTCTGCAAGACCATCGAGTTGCTGTCCGTGCAGCTCAGCCATTGGCTGTGGCTGCTGGCTCCGCTACCACATCGCGGCTGGTCCTTACTTGGACGCGTGGTGCCCTGAATGACTGCAGCGCCGGCTTCGAGAGGTACCAGGTCATGGCGCAAGGGTCCACAGAGGGCTGGTTTGAGCCGGCAGGTTGCACCATGCTAGTGAGCGTGAACACCGAGAGCTGCACGGCGACACAGCTCAGCAGTGACACACCTTATCAGTTCCGGGTCAGGGTGCTTTGTGTCTTGGAGGAGACGCAGAGCATTTGGAGTGAGATCTCGGAGACGGCAATGACGCTTCCAATGCCGGCAGCAGCTCCCACGACAGTCCGTGCGCGATTGCCGAGCTCCAACGCGTGCTAGGCTTAGTCAGGTCTTTGCAGGTGACTCTCTGCACATTTGCTTACCGTCACAAACACTTCCCCTGTAGTGACTCCGCTGATTCAGGTTGCTGGTGTCATGGCAGACGGGTGCCCTGAATGACTGTGAGTTCAGCGAGACAGTCGTTGAAGGACGGGCCAGTGGAGGCAGCTGGTTCCGGCCGCAGGGCTGCACTGGCTTGACGATGCTGAACTCCTACCACTGCACCGCAGAGGCCCTCCAGCCCGGCACGGAGTATGTCTTCCGTGTTCAGACTAGCTGTTCAGATCCCATGTCATCCAGCGCCCCCAGCGCCACCAGCCTGGCTGAGTCAACACTGATCACCGCACAGACCTGGGAATCCTCTCAGCGCAGAGTCCTCGCGGTCAGCATGAGCACGGACGTTGACTTCAACGAAGTCCAGGCCAACCCACAACTTCAGGAGTCGCTGGTGTCCAACATCATCACTGCAACAGCCGTCCGCATGAATCTTTGCCAAGGTTGAGCAAAGGTCTTGAGTATATTGCGCTGGTCAAGAGCGAGAATCACAGTAAGAAGGAATAGCACAGGTTATTTAATGCCTTTTTGTTCAAAGAGCAATCCAGGAATGTGGACCCTTCCAGGGTGCGCGTGGAAGTGCTTGCCGGAACGGCTCTCACGTCTGGCCGAAGGCTTTCGTCAGTCTCCACCGTCTTCTCCGTGGTGGTGGATGGAGTGTCGGAGGACACCCAGGTCTCTGAAGTCTCTGAGAACGTGGCAGCTGAGGTCTCTAATGTGGTGCAGCTTGAAACGGGATCAGCCGGCCAGGTGCAGGTGGCCAGTGTCAACAGCTTGGTTGCAGCAATACCTCCTGAGCGCCCCACCTGGGCCATGCTTGGGACTGATCAAGTGCAGCTGCATTGGAATGCCAGGCCTCTGAATGATTGCTCCTTCCTGGCTTGGCAAGTGAAGGCCAGATCTGGCGACATCGAGCTCACTCCCCCCGGCTGTGCTGGTCTTGTGAACCTCTCAACCACATCTTGTGTCGCAAGTGGCTTTGCCGCAGGTGGCTCATACACCTTCACCGTGTCTCTGCTCTGCGCAGACCCTGCGGTGAGCAGTGAGCCTTCAGAGCCGAGCCAAGCATGGCTTGTGGGCTCGGTCCCAACGCTGCGCTCGGCAGAGTTGACTGCAGGTTTCACAACCTTGCTCCTCACCTTCGATGTGGTTGTGACATCACAGCAGCTCACTCCAACTTCTTGTGCTGATGCCTTCGCTGATGCCTTGAAGCAGAAGCTGGGCAGTGACTTCGCCTGCAATGTAGCTGGAACCCAGCTGGCAGTGACTCTGGGACAGGGAGCCACCTTGATGCTTGGGGATTCCATCAGCTTGCTGACTGCAGCTGGCCTTGTCCCACTCACTTCAAACCTGCCGGTGGTTGAGGTCTCAGGCTTCCTGTCTGCTTCACCGCCTGCTGTGCAGCCCTGTGCATCTGTGACTCTCCTCTTGCAGGCAGCTGGCTCTGCAGGGCGCCCATTGCACGTGGAGTGGCTCACGAGCTCCTCGTCCTCGATGTTGACTTCGCTTCTGGCAGATGCCACCAAGGACTCCTCCGCCACAGCCCTGCTGAGCCCTTCTGTGCTGGCTAGTGTGCTGGGTGCGGCGCAGGTGCCATCAGGACAAAGCATGAGCTTTGATATAGGCGCCCGTGTGACAAACTGGCTGGGGAACAGCATTGTGATGAACACCTCAGTGATGCTGCTTGGTGGTGGAGAGGCAACCGCAAGCATCATGGCAGTTGGCCCATCCACACTCAGCCAGTCCATAGACGAAGACCTGGAGCTTGAAGTGGCAACAGGCATTGTGGCTCCATGCAACCAGTCTGAGGCCACCACCGGTGCACCAGTCACCACCTGGCAGTACCGAGCTGGGCCCAGTGCCTCATGGATGTCTCTTGCTGCAGCTGGCCTGGTTGACAGGTCTCCCTTGCCCAACAGAGTGCGCTTCGCTGCTTTCGCACTCTCGCCGGGAGTGCATGAGTTCCGGGCATCAGCGAGCCTGGCTTCCGCGAAGTCTGGATCAGATCAGCCAGAGGTCGTTTTCCAAGTCACCATGGCTGATGCAGCCCCTCCAACCCTTGAAGTCACAGGGCCCCGCAGTGTTGGCCTGGGATGCGATTTGATTCTGGGTTGCTGTTAAGGACCTTAAACTAAGGTACCATAATGGGTATTATATATACATATAGGAATTAACATGGTTTCCCCAATATGGTAACTTGAATTAAGTTCCTTAACAGCTACCCAGGATTCTCGGCACTTCTTGGACTGGAGTGGTCCGCCCAGGCTCGACCCTGACCTTCCTTTGGACGTGCCTCCAACCCGGCGACTGCAGTTCCTCTGTCCCTGGGCGGTGCAGCGAGAAGTTTTTTCTGCTTTTGGGGTTGCAGAGTTGCTCTTACATGGCAAGTATTTCGTGAGTGACCCATGTATATATGTCTCTACTGTATATGTACGCATACAATCACATGCATATGCGGATACTGTTTCCTGAGTACTGCTGAGCGACCAGGTCTCGAACTTCGGGCAGTCCGGAGATGCGACTGGTATGTCTGGCAATGCAGGGCTACTGAGATTTGCAAATGATTGTCAGGCTTTATCTGGCTTCCTTCATCCTTGTATATGCACCGTCCTTACTGAAGAGCCCTGTCCAAGCCGGATCAGGTCAAGCATCCAGCTCGCTGGATCAGAGCTGGCTGTGGGAAGCTATCAACTTCGCCGGAGCCTCTGTTTGGACACTGACAGCACTGCATACGGCCACAAACAGTAGACATTGAATTAATAGTAGGAAGAGTAAGACTAGTGATCATAGGAACAAACAAGAAAAATAGCAATTATGATAGTAATAGTGTGTACTAATGACGGAGGGCAATACCAGTGAGAGCCTACTTAGGCTTTCAGCATCTGTTTTCTTAACCGTTCTCCTCCTTACATTGGCATCCGGCCGGCCATCGTGAGCCGAACAACTCCTTCCCAAAACCCTAAACCTGACGGAGGCGTAGCCATGATGCAGCAGATTGGTGGCCAGACCTTGGCAACCAGCTATGCAGAGGCCTGGCGAGACTGTGCAACCCGTGCTTCCATGGGTCTTCCAAGAAGCCGGTTATTTGAGCTGTAGTCTAAACTCCTTAAAGGGGGGTTATATAGGGGAGTATTTTAGGGGATGTTGAGGGGGATACTAGACATTTAGACTATGGCTCATTTGAGGGCTATCAAATTACTTGCAAAATCTGATCTTCCCCAAGCTTATTCATAGGCCAATTTTTTCGCGGTTAGGGCTGTCCCTGCCTGACCTTTCTTTCTGCAGATGCTTCCCAGCTAGGGACCGGTCTTGATGTAACTATAAAGATAGTTATGGCATTCAAGACTTCAATAAACAGCGTTCCAGGTTTAATGAGGGTTTAGGGTTCAGGGTCTAGGCTTCAGGCTTGAGGGTTTAATTAAGATTTAGGGTATGGGGTATATATATATATATATATGTATCTATCTATCTATCTATCTATCTATACAGGGTTTTCAGACCCTAGTCTTCGTGCCGAAAAGCCATACTTGTTAGCTTGCGTGCCAAGCACATGTGCAAGGTTCATTCTGGACTTTCTCCGAGCACTACCGGAAAAAAACATGTTTCGATAAGCACCTGAGAGGCCACCTTAGCACACCACACACTTGCCATTCGAGCCTTAAAACCCTAAACCCTAAACCCTAACCCTAAACCCTAAAACCCTAAACCCTAACCCTAAACACTACAAGCCCTCCAGTGGTTTGGGGAGAGGTGCTGCTGCTGTGGGGGATGAAGACTTTACACCGGCCGGAAACACCCTCAAACCGCTGGAATTACCGCATTTTGACGCCCCTACGTGCTGCATGATTGTAGGTTTGAAAATAACTGTTAACTCTTATTTCCCATAATCCCAATATAATCCTTGTAAAGCCATGAAAATTTGGTTGTTGCAGGGCCCCCAAACCAACCCTAGCTAAACCCTAAGCTTTGCCTAAGCCCTAAAACCTAAGCCCTAAAACATAATGGGCGTTTAGCACGTGGCCTGACTGCCAGGTGTCTGTCACCGTGCAGTCCGGTGGACCGTTGCCGGTGCCCTCTTCGGGAATAGGGATCATATAGGGATCATATGGGGATTATATAGGGATTGCATAGGGACTATATCGTAATACTGGAAACCTAAACCCTAAACCCGGGTTTAGGGTTCCGGCCATGGCTTTGTTTGTTTGGGAGGGCGGACAAAGTACCACAGTTCCAGGAGTCAAATCATTACAGGTAGTGCAGGCCCCCACACAATCCTGCCAACAAGTAAGGCCTACCAAACGGAGCTGTAGACCTTAAAGCCTTGATAGTAATTTCGATTCTCTTTTCCGTTATTGCTATAATGTAGACCCTGACCCTGGATGGCAGTTCCCAATTTACTCTATACAATGCCCATAGCATCCCTACATATCCGTATAAAATCGTAATACACAGCCCCACATCTCTGAGTTGAGCCGAGTGCATCAGAGCCTGCGGATTAGGAGATTTACTCCCAGTCGTTGAGTTAGATTCTGATCGCAGGGAGTTTAAGAACCCTTTAGCAGGGGTAGGCTTGAACATGCTATTTCTAATTACCTCTAATCCACATTTCATCCTTATAAAGCCATAAAAAATTCATAGCCCCCCAAACCTACCCTAATTAGTTCGATCTTGCCTTGCAAACAGACTTACATTGTGGATCCGTTGCTGGGGGGATGGTGAATCGGGAAGTCATGCTTGGGGGCTTGTTTGGGGCACGGGCACCTGAGCTATTGTCTAAACTCCTTCAGGGGGATGCCACGGGGACGAAGTATAGGGATTATTAAGGGGGATGCTGGGAGTTTAGACGACTAATAGCTCACCTGACTTTTGAGAAATGGTCACGGCGATCGTGCAGGGCAGCAAATAGAAGAAAAGCTTGCCCCATAATTCCGAGAATGAGTCCCCAACACCCCAACAACTGTGAACCAAGACCTGGGAGCCTCCAAGCTCAAAATTCGGACGTCTGAGTTTGTGCCCAAAAGCTTGGCAGTATCCCTGACCCTACAGCACTCACATAGCAGTCCTCGGTCCTTTACCGAGGGTCTGGGCTTACCAAATTACCCTCTTGATGGGTTGCTGTGAAGGACCTGAAAAGAAGTCACCATAACATGGTTTTGCAGTTCATCACGCGGTTTCCTAATATTAGTGACTTAGTCGAAGTTCGTGAAGTCCCTCCGTAGTTTAACCCCTATCTAGCCGTTTCAATTTGGATTCTCCGCATGGCAGCTTAACCCTAAACCTCAAACCTCCACTAATGTTAAGTTCAGCTCCTGAACAGTAATCCGCGCTCTGGCTTAACAAGGGTACCCACAGGAAAAACTCATAGGATCCACGAACCCGAATGCGGACACGTGACACATACATCGCAAAGATAATGACACCCCATGCGCGACACGAATCAGGAAGCTTAGGTCCGGGGTCATCCTGTCTCCTCTCCTCTCTCCTCTTTCTTTTCTCCTCTCTCCTCATGTATCTCTTCTCTCCTCTCCTCTCTCCTCTCTTCTCTCTTCTCTCCTCTCTCCTCTCTCCTCTCCTCTCTCTCTCTTCTCTCCTTTCTATCCTCTCTACTCTGTCCTCTCCTCTCTGCTCTCTCCTCTCTCTGCTCGCTCCTCTTCTCTTTCAAGACAAAACACAAGTCCAAAAGTCATGACGGTTCTGCGACCAGGACCCCACCGATCCCTGTGACAGTTGGCACTTTTGAAACGCGACGACCAAACGCGAGTCCAAAAGTGACGACAATTCTGCGGTTCGCGACCAGGACCCCGCCGATCCCTGTACAGTTGGCACTTTTGAAACGCGACGACCAAACGCGAGTCCAAAAGTGGCGACAATTCTGCGGTTCGCGACCAGGACCCCGCCGATCCCTGGGCTTGTAAACAACAAGGTTTTACATGATCAGTGCCTCTCCACGGAGCTATTATTACACAGCACTATGGCACGTCACTGTGATCCAATGTGTTGTTATGCTTTGACGCAGCAGAACACGCTCTTCTAGTTGTTTTGTATTTGTCTTGTCTGCAAGCTTGGTTTCAGTGCTTGTAATAAGGATGGCTATACATTCTGCCCGGCAAAAATGTTCCGTGGCAAGTTGCCGGTGTGGAAGGATGCAACGAAAAAGGATTCCGTGGTTTGGCCTCCGCCGAGCAGATTACTTAACGCGCATGCCTCTCTTCATTGTCTCCCCGTGTTTTCTTCTCGGAGTATTTAATGTGGTGCAAGGCCCTCTCGCGCGATGCCCGAATCAGCTCTCCTGGTTTCAAAGTTTCAGCGTGGCTCCTGGGCGTTTAGGAGTTCAAACTCTTAGGAGTTCAACCTCAACCTTGCAACCTCAGTTGGGGCTGCATAATCGAAGTTCGAATGGGGGGCTTTACTTGGCAAAGCCATGAGAGGAACAACATTTACAACGAGAACCACAAAGTCCAAAACTTGGAAAAGCGATAAAGGAGAAAATAAGATGATAACAAAATTTCGGGTCAGGCAAAATGGAACGGGGTTGACTTTACAGCCCCATTGTTCCAAGGTCTGGAAAATATGTTCTTTGAGTTTAGGGTTTGTTGGGCCCAAATTTCAAATCAAAGTGCCTCTACTGCGCTCTTGGGTCCCTAGCTTGGCCAATACTGTTTGTAGTCTTTAAATTTAAAAGAACTCCTTTATTAATCAAGTGTATGGATTTACCTCAGCCCTAAACCCTAAACCCTTACTTCAAAACCGTAACCCTAAACTCTGAACCTTAGTCCAAACCCTATAAACCCTAAACCCTAACCCCTTAGCTGCCGCAGGTGCAGATCTCCAGTCCATGGAGCCGCATGGAGCACATCTCACTCCAGGCCAGGGCCATTTGAGCTATAGTCGAAACTCCTTAAAAGGTGGCTATATAGGGGATTATATAAGGGACTATTATAGGGCTTATTAAGGGGAATACTAGGAGTTCAGACGATAGCTCATTTGGAGTTTAGCGGTTTACGCTTTAGGGTTGTGGGGATTTAGATCTTGGGGTTTTAAGGTTTGAGAGTTAGGCTCCCGTGGCGTGTTGGCGGTAAGAAAAGGCCCAGCTATAGCCAGCTGATATCCTATAATCTCTTAGAGTTAGTATGGCAGATAATTTTGCGTTTTGCAAAGCAGTGCCCCGCCTGTTGGAGGTTTAGTGCAGTTTTGGCTTACTATCCACCCACTAGGCATCTATATTTAAAAGACAAAACAAGGCTCCGGGCTCGAGATGCCACCATTGGGCATTCCTCAATCCAGGCCCACTATGGTTTAGGGTTTAGCATGAAACTTATTCCAAATAGGATGGGAAGATGGTCGTTTAACAAAAGGGCCAGTAATATGGTCACATGATTTTTGAGAAGCTCCCGCAGT